AATACTCTTCTCCATCACCACAGCTCAAAGGCATCAATTCTCCTTCTGTCCTCCCTAGTCATTGTCCAACTCTCTGATGCATAACAAGTTATTGCAAAGACCATGGCCTGTATCCGGTGCACCTTAGTCTCCAGAGAGACACCGCTGCTCTTGAGAACTTTAGAGAGGTCCCTAACAGCAGACTTTCCTGGCTACTGGTGCCAAGAGTGTTGACCGTGGAGCCGAGCAAACTGAAACTGTGAACAATCTCAATCTCTTCAGCATCCATCCTGATGCTACCAATTGATCCAGTGGTGAAAATCTTTGTCTTCTTGACATTGAGCCTCAGTCCATACTGAAGGCTGCAGTCCTTGACCCTCTGCAGCAAGTGCATGAGGTCCTCTCCAGTTTCAGCAAGCAGGGTTGTGTCCTCTGCATAACGCAGATTGTTAATAGATCTTCCACCAATCCTGACGCCACAATTCTCCTCATAGAGCCCAGCCTCCCAGATAATCTGCTCTGCATACAGGTTGAAAAGGTATATATGTAAAATTCTGATCACCCTCCAAAGATATCATTCTTTTATTTTCTAATATCATAATCAATGTGTGTAAGGATAAACTCAAATTTCCATGGATTTGGGATTAATCATGAAAAGAATAAGTTTGCCACAGCTGGTGTTTTTACAACCCAGAATGATGCATTTTATCAAAAGTTGAGAAAAGCAGGGTGTATTTATTTCTCTTATCATGTAGGGGAAAGGATTATTATGAGCACAGACTCCTTCACTGCTGATGAAGTTTAAGGAAGAATAAATATAGGAGATCTAAATATTAATTCACTTAAAATGATCTGTGTGTACTCTTTGGAAAGTCCTCATACACCCTTATTACACACACCCAGCTTGAAAATTTTGAGTCTATGACACTCATCCATATAGCCAATCTTGGAAAGGGAACCAGAGACCTAATTTTCATATGCATATAACTAGAATATGACAGGTGGTTTTTATTTCTGAGAAAAGGGCATGGAAAGCAGTGTGGTTTTCTTGAATATATTCAACCTGTAGGATGCCTAAGGCCATGAGGATGGATACTCAAACAACCCCATGGAGAGACCCATGTGTGAGGAACTGTTCTTCTGTTGTACACAGGGTCAGAAGTGACCCGATGGCAACTACCATGCTGTTCCTGTCCATTGTTGGTGTTGTTGGATGTTGTGGAACCATTATGACTCACAGTGACTCTATGAACAATGGCTCTGAACCTTGCCCCATCCTGTGCCATTCTCAGCATCTCTGTTACATGTAAGGTCATTGTTACAGTCACTGTGTTCATCCTTTGAAGGATTTTCTGCTCTCTCACTGACCCTCAACCACTTTTCAAAGCATGATGGTCTTTTCCACAGACCAGCCTCTACTAACAACATGTCCAGAATAAATGAAATGAAGCTTCATAATCCTTGCCTCTATGGAGCTGCCTGGCTGCAATTTCTCTAAGACTCTATCAAGTAAGAAAAGTGTGCTACTTTAAGGTGCAATGTTTGGTAATTTGTAAAGTGGCTATCTATCTATCTATCTATCTATCTATCTATCTATCTATCTAACTAACTAATACAATTGGGCATAAACAACCAAGTCCCACAATCTGCATGGGCTAGCCTCGTCACCTTTTTCTTGGGTTAGTTAGTGCAAGAAGACAGGATGGGACCCTTAACAGCTGCTGTAAATACACAGCACGGGGAGCCTGGTGGATGAAACAAATGGCAACTGTCTGTGTAGTGAAATAGAATTAAATGTATAAAGTACCTTCCATCCTGTCTGGACATCCCTTACACTCTCATTTTAATCTTTGGCTGGGATTGCCAAATGAAATGGTGAAATCTCTACTAGTAAGAATTTCCCTTCAGGTTGAACACATTCTGATTCTCTTACTGGGCTTTAATTCTGCCCCCTGGCTCTTTTCTCTTAACAGGTTGCCGCAAATGACAGCAACTGTGTTTTTAAGTACGGTGGTCCAATTTAAAAAGGTGCAGCAATGTGTTAATCAAGTAGAGTGAGGGTGACCAGGAAATGCAACACAAATATGAAATTCACATTTAAGTAAACATAGTAACTTTTCAGTTAAAATGTGACTCCTGGCGCACAGGTCAAGATTCAAGATTTATCAGAAAGCACTTAATCCCCATTTTCGAAAGGCAGTTCTCTCAGTTTAGGGAGGCACTTCAGGTTTTTAAATCAGAGTTTTATTCTTTAGTCTCTGGTCAGCCAAATTTTGAAGCCAACTAGTCAGTTTAGAAACTTATGTGTAGCTTATATTATGATTTCGCTTTCATCATAGATCAAGAGAGATTAATTCACTCTAGTCAGTACACAGAGGCAGTAAATCACATGGGAGGAGATTGACTATCTTTCTCCTGTCAAGCAACTGGTGGATTCAAATTACATACAGGGCACCTGCTTCTTACTGCTAGACCACCAGAGACTGATTCATATACTCTCAAGGTTATGGACTGACATTGTGACTGCAACAATTGACTTGAACACGGTGGAAATTGTGAGCCTCGTGCAGGCTGGAGCAAAGTTCTGATCTGTTCATAGGATCGTTGAGTCATCTTGAGGCAACTCAAGGGTACCTAACAACACTGCCTGACTGCTGCATCGAGTGAGATCTTCCAACAGGTTCTGATGATGCCAGCCCCGTACATAATCTGCAAGGTTCAAGGTAGCTGGTGCACATGAATTAAGTATGAGTTAAGATTCAAAATTCTACTTAAAACCTTTATCCTCTTTTCCTTTTTTGTCTGAACCAATATTCCAGGAAGCAGGGAGATCAGGTATCTCTTGGTGTGTGTGAAGAATATTAGAAAGTAGGCAGAGTGGGAGAATGAATACTTTTTTCGTCTTGAAAGAGATAAAACGTGTGGAAATAAAAGGGCCTTGGTCTACTCGCCTTTGTGTCCAGAGGCAGCTCTGCCAATGCCACCCCTTAATAAGGCACTGCCTAACCTCTACTCTTGTAAAATCCACAGAAGGGAAAATGCAGGAGAGTCAGAGTAGATCCTTTGCATTTACTGGGCTCACTTTGGGGATTCCTGGAGAACAGGGACCTGTGAAGTTAGGAAGAACCCTGTCAAGTCATTCAAAAGTAAACTCTTTCAAAGAAGAGCCAAGTCAGAAAGTTAGTTACCTTACAGCTTGCATATTTATTGAACAAATCCTATTAAAATAGCTAAAATACATTGGGTACTTGTCTTGGGTGCATCAGTAAAGATCACATTGTTAGAAAAGCCTGCGTTTTCGGCAGTACACAACTGCAACTCTACATATATGCCACAGATACAGAATACTGTTTTCTTGCTTTATTTACACAGCATATATACCTATTCTAAGGAAGGAGGGTGGGGAGAAATGCACAGGAAACTCAGTCCAGTGGGGGAGCAAGAAGAGAAGGAAGTGCAGTGCATGCATCATCGTGTTTAACAGTCAGAAGCGGACAGTTCAGAACCAGGCCTGCCCCGTCGAAGGAAGAGCTAATAGACAGTTATATAAAAATTAAGGTGGGCTTTCAGACTGGCTAACACAACAACATTCCATGAGTAGATGGTATTTTCTGATTTTAGTTTGTTGATCCATTTCATTGGGAGCAAGGACAAAAATGCAAACTGTACACCTTGCTTATCAAAATTGCCCCCCCCCAAAAAAATAATGCTCTCCCTTCTTTTTCTTTTACATTTTGTAAAGCTATTTTTCCCCAACTTAATTTCTGGGAAATGTGTAGTTTTCATATTCATATGAAGATGCCAGGTTTTGGGATTTTTTTTTTCAGAGACCTTTTGTCAAAAAGTTTGTCCCTTTTTCAAATATCTTTTTAGACAAAAAAGAACCCAAACATTCACCTGAAAATGCCTGTAAAATTATTGCTTTTTTTCCCCTCTCAGTTAGGCAGGCGAGGCTACAGAAAGAAGGAGATTTGGTAAATAAATTACAGTTTTGTGATTGCTCCCGCTACAGCGATTGCACGTTTCTGAGGGCCAACTCATGAGACAGCTGTCTCTTACTCTCTGGTAGCATTTACTTAACCTACAACACTGAAGAAGAAAGCCACACTGAAGACACAAGGAAAACAAGTCAATCCAGTCTAGAGAACAACATTCAGGGAAACAAAGTACCAACACCTTCTTAGAACATGGAAATAAAAAATAACTCCATCAGAGCTACCTCGCCAAGGAGCATGTTGAAAGTCCAAAATAGCACCATTCATCAGTGTCTCAGGTCCTGTGGCAGCATCTCGGTCACTTACCACAAGGAAACAATGAGTTTCAAACTACTTCTATACATCAAAAGAGTACATGGGTAAAATATAGAGATATACAGACAATCGATGAACATAAACTACTAGGCTTGTTACATCTAAATGAAAAATTTTAAAAAAAAAAAAATAGGGGGACTCTCAGCCTCTGCCAGAAGCAGTCAGGAGCTGTGTGAGTGAAAAGGCAGGAGTGGACCAGTTGTGTGAGAGCAGTAGGAGTTTGAGTTGTGGAAGACATTGTTGTAGCGAACCAGGCCTGAAGGCCCACCTGTAAGGGTTGTAAACGTGGATTCACAGTGTGAAATTCTGAGCGTTTTCACCAGAGTCAGAATGATTAAAAACTGTTTGATGATACCTATTTGTCCACTGTAAATTCTCTAAAGCAAGGCTCAGAGTCCCATAGTTTCTTCTTATACTTGATGATTTACACAGAAAAAAATCCCATATATGATACCATGATCTCATCAATACCCATACACCATATGTGATACAAATGGAGGTGTTATGATTAAAAAGAGTAGAGGTAACTGATTCTTGGGGGAAGGACTTCTTCGCCGCCAAGCAGAGTCAGGGAGGCAGCAGCAGTCTCTTCGCCCTTCTTGCGATTTACTTCCTTTGGGACAGGAAGTCTTCCCTGAAAAGTAGATGAGGCCACAAACAAACAGACATAGAAAAGAGACAAAGTTAGCATGCTTCTCAAACCATTTATAAGGCTGTTTCTCCTCCCTACATTTTATCCTTAAACTGATGTTTTGCAAAAAGATTTTACATATTAATAATACAGTTCATCTTAACGTAAACAGTAGGTAGGTCTGTGGGGACATTAATTAGAAATTAGCCTCTTCTGCTCCAGTAAAATAAAGTGCTATTCTAGTGGTGGGGGCACCATTCTCTAGGGTCAGACAGGGCCCACTAACAGGCTGGCTGAGAGGTACGAGTGGAAATGTTTTCATATACATTTTATAAGAGTCAATAAGAATGTTGTTTTGTGCCACCGAGTAGACTCCGTGACTCACAGCGACCCTATGCACAATAACTCTGAACCCTGCTCTATCCTGAGCCAATCTGACTGCTTCTGAAATACCTTCCCTCCTGATCTTTTGAGTCAAGGAGAATAGTTAACAAAAAATAAGTAAATAAACAAACAAAACTTATTGCTGTCTATTCGAGTCTCAATTACAGTGAAACTCCCAGGACAGAGTAGCACTGTTTCAAAGGGTTTCAAGGCTGTAAATGTTTATGGAAGACAGAGTGCTATCTTTCATCCAGTGAGCAGCTGGTGGGCCTTTCAATTAGGAGCCATGTGCTCAAACACTGTATCACTAGGGTTTCTCTGACAATGGTAGATAAAAACAAAACAACAACTCATTGCTGTCCCATTGAAACTGACTCATAGCTGAGCCTCCAACAGTTTTTCAGAGTCTGTAAATAACCTCTAAAAGGAGGAGAATGCCCATATTTATCTCCTGGAGCAGCTGGTGGATTTGAACTACCAGAGAGTCTCACCTTCCAGGTAGCAGTAAGCCTCTATGGGCTATACAACAAGAGCTCCGTGGCACAGGAAGTTGATGGCCCATGCTCTAACATATAATAAAAATAAGTATGGTAGAAATCATAGTTATGTGTGACTTATTGCATAAACAACTGGCACATTCTGTGACGGTCAGAAGTTAGAACCAAAAGTGGAAGGGTTTGGAAGGGATATACTTGGGAATAGACAGTAGTTGTTATAAATAATGGACAGTGAGAAACCAAGGCCAGATGACAGTAGATGCAGCTAGTATGAAAGATGGGGGCTATTTTATGCTTCTCCTCACACGCTGATGAGTGAGGTTTTGGGCTTCAGTATGACCGGTGGACCATGCTGCTTCCACTGGCATCTGCTGACAAAGAAGCTCTCTATCTTAACAAAGGCAAGAAGAGAGGGCAGCGAAGTCCATAAAGAAATGCAAAAGGAACATCTTAATTTGCCACACACATTTTAATATCTCTTTCAGACAGACAAATGAAGATTTAAAAATAGTCTCTTAGTGAAACTTTTAATCACTAAAGTTTCTGTAGGAAACATATTTATGGCCTTAGAGTCTACCCTCACCTCCACCCTGGATCACATATTTTAACAGGGAAGCCTCAATAAGCAATTATTTGACTGAATGTAAATACTTAGGTTAAAGTCATGTGCTGTTACTTATAAATCATTGTATTTGATTATTAAAAACAAAACAAAACTAAAACCAAATCCAGAAGTCAGAAATTTCCAAGCAATCTGAATCCAAATAAATGTTGTCAGTAATCTCACAGTGAACTAAATGAAACGGATAATCCAACTCCAAAAAGCCTTATTTACAGTACAAATTTTCCATATTAAATATCTGATGTACCTAAATTTTGTGTTTAAAAAGTCCTACTCTTTAAGAGTATACTGCATTTTAAGAGCATATATTAAAATTCTCTAACTATGCGCTTCAATGTTCCCATCTTAGAATATTTTAAAGGAAGTTTGATATAATTAAACAGTAATGAGAACCAGAAAATTACAAATGAAAAAATTCATCACAGACACCTACAAACACACTAAAGATCTAGGCAAATTTCCAAAAGTATTAAAATGGGCAATTCCTTTCAGTGCTGAGAATACTTTCAGACTTGAGATTTTGGCACGCAATCCTAAGATTATAAAAAGAAATCTACTGCAATACCAATGGCTTTAAAATAATGCTTTTGTTTTTCCATCAAGCAGAGCAAGGCTCACAATATGACAAGCTTAGGTTTTGAACAAATGAGTTCAATTTGGTTAATGTAATGACATTGTTAACTGTCACAGGTCAGGAAGGGAAATCAACAGTTCACAAATGTTATTTCATTCAATCACAGCACCTTTTCCATGGGTGGCCTTAAAACTGTCTATTTCAGCTCAGATTTATCCTGTTCAAAATTAAACACACAGAATATTAATCTCTTTACATGTAAGTCTAGGTCTGACTAATCTTTTACCTCCAAGAAAAATACACAACTTAAAGAAATAAAGAACAAGGTGGGATGTGTGCAGTGTAGGGGATGTGTTGAAGTGTCATCTCTGTTGTAAATCACTAGCATGCTTGGCTAGTAACAAATACTGGGGGGCTGAGTTGACTCAGAGGTGACCTGAAGAAAGGCAGGCAATTTACTGCAGAAAAAAAATACAAAACAAAACAACCCCAAAACCCACTCAAGAAAACTCTGTGGAGCACAGTTCTGCTTTGACATATACAGACTACGGCAACTACAGCTGGTACTGTGGAGTTGGAAACGACCCAGAGCTGCCCCTCCGGTGGGTTTTCAGGGGCAGTTAATTGCATGGGAGGAGATTCCCCATCCTTCTTCCTCAGAACAGCTGGTGGATTTGAACAACGTGCCTTATTGCCATTAGGCCATCAGAGCTCCCTACCTCTTTTTCCTTAAAACAAAACAAAACAAAACCCCTCCAAAATCCCAAATTGTAAAGGTGATTATTTCAGGTCTTAACTGACCAGTTTTGCTACCTAATTAATTTGTGTGAAGTCTAAAAATACTCACGCATTCATTCATTGACTATAATCTCCTGAATATCCATTATGTGTGTGCACTCTGAGGTTACATAATTTTTTTAAGAAAAGCCTGATACAGTCTTTCTGTCCTTTTAGAGGAAGGAAATGTTGGTGGTCTAGTGGATAGAGTTGCACTGCCAACTCAAGGGTGGGTGGTTTGAATCTACCAGCTGCTCCAGGGGAGAAAGATGGGCAGTCTCCTCCCACATGATTTGCAGCCTCTGAAAAACTGCTGCAGGGTCAGCAGTTTTAATTCCACGGCAGTAAGTTGAATTTTGAGTTGAGAACAACTTTAGTCATTCTAGAAGAAGGGATAAGAAGGTGTCTAAGTCTCTTACAAAAGAACCCTCACAGCCATACTTTATTTCACCACCTAGCATATAATGACCCTGTCAGACTGAGGACTGTAGGGAAGAAAACAAATAGTTTGTGTTTGACTACTAATCTAAAAAGAACTGCACTGTCATAGCAGGTATATCTGACTGCTAATGAAAAGGTCTGCAGTTCAAATCCACCAGTCACTTTTTGAAAGAAAGATGAGCAGTCTCTTCAGTAAATGTTTACACTGATGGAGGGTGGCTACCAATGTCATTCAGAGTTAAAACGTAGCCAAGTTAACAGCAGTGAGTTTGTTGTTGGTGTTTCTTTTCAGATCAATCTAGACACTGGCAGTTGGAACCCATCTAGTAGCACTGTGGAAAAAAAGGCCTGGTTATGTGCTTTATTAAAGATGACATGCCCTGTGGAGCACTTGTATTGTTACAAGGGGTTGCCATGAATTGGAATCAACTAGCCTGACAACTAGCTATCTTTTTTCTTTTTTTTAACCAGATTAAGGAAACTGAATGGTCTAGATGGCTGAAGGGGAGAGAAAACAGCAGGAATGCCTATGGGCTCCCACAAACTGGTTCTCCCGCCTGTCATTCTCACCGCTCTGCATCAGGCTCAATGGCTGTCCTTGCTGACTACTGCTGGTTGATTAATCAGTCTCTCTTACTCAATCAAGTGTTTCTTATCAAGTAAGCCAATGTCATTTTTTTTTACAATTGCACAAAGATAGACTTTTCCAGAAGGAAAACTACAGGAAAAATAGATATATTTGCTTCAAATACTAATCATATGTTTAGAGAGCCGAATGAGTTACCAAACCAACAACAAAACCCAGCGCCATTAACTCTGACTTCTAGTGCCCTACCGGACAGAGCAGAACTGCCCCATTATTGCCAAGGCTACAGCATTTTATAGGGGCACATTGCTGCATACTTATCTAGAGGAGCAATTACTGGGTTTATTAGTTTGCATCTGAGCATTAACTATTGTACACCATGCCTTTCGGAACGAGTCAACTTACTGCTGTGGAGTTGATTTTGACTCATAATGACAAAAAACTGCCTTATGTGGTTTCCAAGGCCTAGAACGAGTGGAGAATTTGAACTCATAAAAGACCTTGGACTCACAGCACCAGGGTCCCAGGTGCATGTGTCAGTGTTGGCGAGTCTAAGACATGGAGGAAAAGAAAGAAGACACTGCTTATGTCACTGAGGAATAGTGCCTCTGTTTGATGGCACACTATCAATGGCATTTGACTGCTTCCACAGGACAGGAACTAATAGAAAAGCTATACTTTGCTTTCTCCCTTAATAAGGGGGAAGTCATGGTCTGAATTGGCCCTGCAGCTGCTAATTTGATGGTGATGATGAGGTGAGGGACAGAAGTGTGTTTTACTCAATGCCTGTTGTTAGGTGCTGTCAAGGTGAACACAGCTCAAGTGACTCTATGAACAACTGACCTAACCTGTGTCATCAACATCTCCAACACATTTGAGTCTATTGTTGCAGTAACTATGTCAATCCACCTGATTGTGGATCTTCCTCTCTTTTACTGACCCTCCACCTTTCCAAGCATAATGTCCCTCTGCAAAGCCTGAGTAAGTAGCATTCTGTATTTCAGGTCCCTTCTACTCCAACTCTTAAAGATCAGCATAAGCCTGGCTCAGGCAGAGCCAAAACCATTTTGTTCACCTTCTTTCCTGCCAATAATTTCAACCTTGACCTTCAGAAATTCTCTGAAAGACTAAATGTGATTTAGGATTGTTTAGTTTGAGTGCAAACTGCCAGTTGAGTCACCTTCTTCAACTCTGCCTGTCAGTAAAGGATAAGGCACTACTGAAATAATTTCTATAAAGTAAGTTTCATAAACAGGCCAGTAATATCTGGGAAAGTCCTACCACTGGTCAATTTTCTTTATGAACATTTAAAATGAACATTTTCTTCCTTATGGACTGTTTTTCTTTATTAAGTGCAAAATAATCAGATCATTAGTAAAAAGTACAACCTTCTTACTTGAGGTCAAATTGATATTTACCTTAACAGGCAAAGCCCAAAAGTATCTACAGTAAAAACTGATAAGTATTTTTTTGCCAGAAATAGTGCTAAAATCCGAAATTTAAATTTTATATATTTTTAACGGCACTTAAGATGTCAGAATAGTGAAAGTATGTTTGTTTATAGGAAATGTTTTTAGGACTAAATATTAGGAATAGTACTTTCTGTTTATAGGTAATAAACAGACTAACCTTGTTCAATAGGTAAACTTAGATATTCAGATATTATCAGCAGACTAAAATATACTTTATATGTAAAATATGTTTTAGTTTACCAACTAAGAACAGATAAAATTGAAAATAAAAAATATATTCATTTGATAAATTAATTTAATAATTCTTAAAAGGACATGTTTAGGATATATGAAATGAAGATAACTAAATATTAATATGGAATTTTAGAATTTGATGAGTGGGGGGTGAGGGAAATGGAAAGAATTTGTTCAAGTTTGTATTAGAATTTTATAAATAGACTAGTAGGAAAAAGCCCAAAAAACAAAAAAAAATGGAATTTTAGGGTCCAAGTTTTAAAAATGTTATTTTCAAGGTTGTTACAGGATCAAGCTACTGAATTATTATTAGAGAAGGTTGCTATACATGGCATCAACTCAAAGACAATGATTTTGGCTTTCTAGGTTTTATATAGAATATAACGGATATTAGAGTAAGGAACAAGTAACTCGATTCCAGAAAAGTTGTTTCTAATTTGAGATGCATGCTAATGAGATAGTAGCTCAAGGTCTTACCTTGGGGAGCCTTCCTTCCATTTCCTCATTTGGAAATGGTTCTTGACTGACCCAGACAAATAGATCCGGGTAATAAGCCTGTAGAGACATAATTGCACACATATTCAGCTTATTAACAGAGCCCACTCTGTAACCTCATACAATCAGCTTAATGAACTCAATACTCCTCAGGGTTCTTATCTTCTGGCTGCACGTAGATGCTAAGGAAGCCTTAGACTATTGGCGCACTTCTGAGTGGACACTGCACTCAAGTTAAGTTTTAGCTCATTATCATCCAAGCCCAAATCTAAGAGAGCAGAGCTATCAGAGTTGTCTTTAGAAGGTAAGGTAGAAGTTTAATGGGATGGCTGGCTGAGCAAACAGAGGAACTGGAAAGGCTGAACTCTAAACAAAAGCCCACAGCCTTCTAGTCCATTCCAATTCATGGTGGCCTCATGGTGTTAAGAGTAGAACTGCCCCATACAGTTTTCTTGGCTGTTGCATTTATGGAAGCTGATCACTTGAATTTTCTTCTGGTGGATGCATTTGAAGGGCCAAACTTTAAATTAATAATGAGTGCAAACCATTTGTACCACCCAGGAACAGCTGATAAATATTTTTGCCAAACTCTGAATTTGTGAGATAAGTGTGTAATTTACCTCTCAAGATCATTAGGGAGTATTTTGACAACTTATTAGAAACCTAGTATTTATACTCAAAGCATGAGGAAAGTTGTAGCACGGAATCCCCCAGAATCTCCTTGGCTAGCTGCACCCTCCATCAGCCACCATTGAAAGTAGCTCCCTTAATAGGAGGGGGGAGTTGGACAGTATTGCAATGAATGATTCAGAGAACAGAAGCTGATGAATTTGGGGGTGGGAAAGCTGGTGAGTGAGTGGACTGAGTAACTCTTCTTTAAATATACAAAGGGTTATTATCATAAGAAGGCTGCTGACCAGCTGTTCTCTATCTCCAGTAAAGGCAAGTTTGGAGAGGGAGGTGGGAAATGACTTAAATTACAACTACAGATTTAGGTCAGCTACAAGCAAGAACTTGGCATAAGAATTGTTAATTTACAAAAGGAATTTTGAGGGGGAAACTGTGAAATCTTCTTTAGGAAATTTAGAAAGAGACTCCAACCACCAACTGTCAAGACTAATAATATACATCAGATACCATCCTGCTTTAAGGGAGGAGAACAATTAGACAGACTATCCTCCACATTTGATTCTCAAATTCTGTAAATAAACCTCACATTTGATAAATAATGATTCACAACCACACCTTAATATGGAGTCAAACTGGCAACAGCAATTTGAAAGGCTGGAAAGCAAGCTTTACATTTTGCTGGGTGAAATATCTCAGAAACAAAAGGACAAATACTGCATAACATCTCTGTCATAGAATAGGACTGGCACTGGGGGTTGGGGTGAGAATAGAAAAGAGTGCATAGATAATGAACATTGACAAATAATGAGCACTGAAACAGAGGAGGGGAAGCAAAAACTGAAAAGAATACATGGTTATGTATTGTAGGTATAACAATAATTTGGAATAAGAGGAACACTGCAAAGTTGACGGGGAGGCAGAGGGAAGAAAATGTGCAACAATGAGTGAACTAAAAAAATGTAAAAAAAAAAAATAAAAGGCACTGAATTTATATTAACGACGAAGGAACATTTCCGAAAAGGAAAATGAGGATGTTACAGAATTAGAAGGATATTAGCCATGTCACAGAAATGTACATGTGCAAATTGTTGAATTGATAAATGTTCTGGGTGTGTTTTCAACAGCATAAGAGAGAGAGAAAAGTCTAATCTCACTATTAGATAAGCACACTTGCCTGGATCCAATCAAAACCCATGAAAATAGTCAAGAAATCAAAAGATGAGTGCTAATGGCAAATCTGCTATAAAGAACCTCTATAGAGTGTTAAACAGCAAAGATGTCAGTTTAAAGTCTAAAGTACATCTGATCCAAACGATGGCATTTTCACTTGCTTCATATCCTTGTGAAAGTTGGAATAATACTGGAAAGTGAATAAGGAAGACTGAAGAAGCGATGCCTCTGAATTGTGGTATTGCAAAGGGTACAGAATATATCACAGACTACCCAAAGAACAAAAAAGTCTGTCTTAGATTAAGTGAAATTAGGCTGCTTTTTAGAGGCAAGGATGATACGACTTGTTCTCACATACTTTGGTCATAGTATAAGGAGAGGGTAATCCTTGTAAGGGGATATCATGCTTGGAAAAGCCGAGTGTTAGAGAACAGAAAATCCTCAAAGAGATGGATTATAACAATGGGTTTAAGAACAACAGAGATTGTGAAGATGGCACAGAACTGGACAAGGTTGTACATGGGGTACTGTGAATTGAAGTTTACTCCACAGCACATAACAACAGATGCCTTTCTAATTATTAAATACTAGGTAAGGAAGTTAGTAGCAAAGTTTTCTGAGTTCCTATCATTCCATTTGGTCAAAGGATCCAAGGCAAAAACATGTGGTATGGTAACTTCACTGAATAATGTTGTTGTTAGGTGCCATCAAGTCAAATATAACTCCTAGTGATCCTATGAACAACAGATCTGAACCTTTGTCCTCCTATCCTGTGCCATCCTCATCGTCTTTGACACACTCAAGGCCACTGCTGCAGTCACTGTGTCAATCCACCTGGTTGAGAGTCATCCTCTCCTTCACTGTCCCTCTACCTTTCCAAGAATGAAATAGCTTCCCAAGGAATAACCTGTCCTGGCAACAAGCCCAAAGTATGTGAAACTAATCTTCGTTATGCTAGCCTTTTAAGAGCACTCTGGCTATACCTTCTCCAAGAAGGCAGTCGATGGCATATTCAGTACTCGACTCCAAGGCCATAGTTTAAAGGCACCAATTTTTCTTCCATCACCTTCATTCAATGTCCAGCTCTCAGCAGCATAACAAGAGATTGAGACCATGGTCTGAATCATGTGCACCTTAGTCCTTAAACTAACATCATTATTCTTCAGTAATTTGGAGATATCTCTGACTGCAGACTTTACCAGTGCAATAAGTCTCCTAATCTCCTGACTGCTAGTACCAAGTATTTTATTGTGGATTGAAACAAGATTAAGTTGTTGGCATTTTAGATATTTTCTCCATCTATCATATCATAATGTTGCATTTCTGTTCAATAGCGATACTTTTTGTTTACTTGACATTAAGATGAAATCTATATTGAAATCTTCAATGCTTGATCTTCTGCATCAAGTTTCAAGTCCTCCTCACTTTCAGCAAGCGAGGTTGTGTCATCTGCATACTGAAGGTTACTGACGATGATTCTTTATAGAGTTCAGCTTCTCAAATATTTTGTTCAGCATACAGATTGAATAAGAAAGGATACAACCCTGATGCACACATTTCTTAATTTTTAACAACGTGGTGTACTCTTGTTCTGTTTGTACATCTTCATAGTACTACAGTACCATTTATAGCATATCTTAGTTCACAAAGAATTTTGCACACATTATCTCTTCACAGTAGACTGTGAGTTGGTCTCTCATTACAGTTGACGAAACAGAAATTTAAAAAAAAAATGTCAGCACTGCTTTCTCAAAGTCACAAATAGAGTGCAGTAGTAGTTGTTGTTCTTAAGTGCTGTTGAGTACGACTCATAGTGACCCTAAGAAGATCTGAACTCTATCTTGCACCATCCTCATGCTTCCTGAAACACAAGAGCCCATTGCAGCAGTCACATTGTCAATCCACATGGTTGTCAATCCTCTTTCGCTGACCCTCTACCCTTTCCAGCATCATTTCCCCCTCCAAGGAATATCCCCTCCTAGCAACATGTCCAGAGTATGTAAGGCAAAGGCTCTTCATTCTTGCCTCCAAACAGCACTCTGGCTGCACCCTCTCCAAGACATATCTGTTTGTTCTCTTGGCTGTCTATAGGATGTTCAATGCTTTTCTCCAACATCACAGCTCAAAGGCATCAATTCTTTTTCTGTCATCCTTATTAATTGTCCAGCTCTCAGACGCACAGCAAGCAATCAATTTTGATAGGACGAAGATCACCAACCTCTACTCCCTCAAGATTACATCAATCCACAGCCATTACCCTCATGTAAGCCTTAACTACTTGGAAAGTTCACCCCTAAGAAATGGAGCTGGTTTCTCATTCTGGGCTGTACATCCCTTTCCTCCCTTTTGCCCAACCAGCTTTCTCTCCCACAGCTTCCCCCTCCATGACCCAACTTCTTCTGGGAGAATTCCACCATTTGCCTTGTTTGGAACATTCCCTTTAGTCAGCAAGGGGTAAAGAAAACAGAATTACAATCTAAAATATACAAAGGCTTTTTTTTAAAAAAAAAAAAAAAAAAAAGCTTACATCAAAGCCACAGCACATAAAATCACAGCTTGACTTTAACTTTAGGAGACCCCAGATCAGAATCAACTATAAATACATTTAATATAAATGGATAAAAAAATACTGCACTTCTACTAATTTTAAAAACACAGTTAAAATATAATCAAAATAGTAATGAGAAAGTTTTGTTGGGAAACAAAAAGGTTGGTAAAAAGCACATATAAAAACTTAGTAGGCACATAAAAGCAATGGAAAACAAAATCAATGTTATTTCTGTTTCCTTGTGCTTTTCTGGGAATATTCCATTTTAACAAAATTGTACCACTTTAGCATTGAACTTGTGGTTCTAAAACATCAATTCTAAAGCTTGCTGAGGAAATAACTTGTCTTTCAGAAATTATTGCATTTATTATTTTGACAGTTTGTTTTTCAAAGAACTTTGTTAAGAAAAAATATATTCAATTAGTTCTGAAAAGAACTCAGGAACAACAGTATCAAATAGCCAAACTCATAAAGATGGAAACTTCCCCCCACCTCAACTTGTTCTGCTGAGACATATTAATTTAGTCACACATTGACCAAAGGCATTTCTAACTAGACTTTTTAGGTCTTGAATCATAAATTATTGTCTAGAAAAAAATAAACATCACTTTGGCCTTGTCTTCAATAAAAATCTTAAGTAAAAAATGGCAGTGTCAAAAAAAAAAAATTCAGTCACATACATAAAACCTGCTTGGCTAGAATTCAGCATAAC